TTTGGTAAGGGCTCTTTTCATGGCTTGATAACTTTGTTGTTATTAACTACTCCAATATCTTCTGTTATACATGAGTAATGAACTCTCTAGTGACACTTCTTATAAAACACACTACTATAATAGATCAGGCCCCACATTTATTATCTCATTTAACTTTAATTATTTCAATACAGGCCACATTCCCAAACATAGCCCCATTAGAATTTAAGGCTTTAATAAATGAACTTCCCAGGGGTCCCTGCAGAGACTGATTCTCCAACCAAGGACCATGCATGGAGAGGACCTAGAATCCCTGTTCAAAGGAAACCCATTGGCTGCTCAGTTTCCAAGTGAGTTCCATAGTAAGGGGTACAGGGGCTGTCTCTGACATGAACTCAGTGGCTGGCTCTTTGATCACCTCCCCCTGGGGGTTGCAGCCTTGCCAGACCACAGAGGAAGATGATGCAGCCAGCCTTGATGAGACCTGAAAAGCTAGGGTCAGATAGAAGGGGAGGAGGTCTTCCCCTATCAGAGGACTAAAGAAAGGGCATAGGGGGAGAAGATGGAGGGTTGGGTGGGCCTGGGAGGAGACAAGGGAAGGGGCTGCAGTGGGGATAAAAAGTGAATAAATTGTAATAAATAAAAAATTAAATTAAATTAAATTGAAAAATAAATGAACTTTGTAGATGCATAAATATTGCTTTATAGTAACAGTTTCTTAGCCAAGATAAAAGCATAATCAATTAATGAGTAATTATAGATATAGTGTTACATCAAAATGTAATATGTCTACTCTTTTAAAACCATGGTTAACAGACAAGGTAAAGAACAGGAGAAAATATTCTGATGCATTGGCTCTAGTCTATGCTGATAAACATCTGTAGCTATCCTTGTGACTGTTCATAACTATTATGGTCTTAACAGAAGATAAAGAAGGCACTAGAACAGAATAGGAATTATAAGTGGCTCATAGATAGAGTAATACTGCTTAATATGTGAAGTCTAATAAAATATGTACAGATGTATAAAACACATGTATATAAATACAGACACAAATAAATTGTATGTATAGTACAAAGATGTTTATACGTGTGCAGATGCAAATCACTAGACTATAAAATGTTGGATAATTTTAAAATAAAAGTAAGACTTGCCAAAAAAAAAACTCCATGAGCTTTTCAAAAACTACCATGGACCATGCAATCAGCTCCTCTTTTCACCCTGGCTTGTCCTGTCCAGCACTGTCACCCTGACTACTTCCCTCACACTTCTGCCATCTCAGGAGAGTGTGGACAGAGGCTCATTGAGAAAATAAACCAAGGCAAAGATGCTGAGAGCTGGGGGGTTCCAGATAATTTCATTCCATCCTTGTTGCCAGCCCTGGTGGAACCTCAGCATATGGATATGATAAATCATTGAGTTCTGCCTGGTTGATCATAGTGAAATACAAGCCTATTCTGTGGTCCCTGGAGCTGGTCTGCAGAGCAGAGGTGTCTCAGGAAAGGCTCAAAGCTGAAGCTGAACTTAGGTAGAACTACCCCAAATAGAGGGAATCTAAATAATCTAGCATTTTTATTAGACCTATACCAAATATGGGCAAATTTGTCAGAGTACTTTTCCCATCTACCCCAGGAAGCTCCAGATTGTAGACCTCTTGTGAGAATTATGGAGATGACATTAACAAGATCCACCCTCTTTTATGGTCCTGATGACAAACCAAAGCATCATTCCACCATAGTTTACTCTGGTGAGTCAGTGAGTTTATTAGGCTTGCTTACAAAATATGAGCTAGGGATTTTGTGTAGGCAGAAATGGGGGTGTCTCTAAAGCAGGCTTATTGGAAGGTCGTCAGTCAGCATAGATGATTGTTTTCCCCATGACCACATAGATGGAACCTCCTTTCCCTAGTCTTTTCCAGCCTGTGTACTCTAGCACCTCCTGCAGACCCACAAGCCACATGCAATAAGGGTAGATTTGCATACAAATGGCTAAAAGGAATGGCTGGATATTCAGGTGAGAATCCAATGACCTTACCCATCCCCTCATTCTAATGAGCCCAAAGGCTCAGTCACAGTTGATGCTTGCAAGCAGTCACAGCTGTTCTGATGAGGATAGTGGCTATTTTTGTCAAAGGATAACACTATACAAATTCCTTCCTCCAGCTTGGCTCTTATATTCTTTTCGTCAACCGCTATTATCTAGGACAGACATTATAGTCTCTAAGACTAGTATGTTGAGAGGAATGAGTGTCTTGGCAATGGAGTATAGAGGCTTCCTAATCTCTGATACATGTAGTAAGAAATATATCTAAGGCCAAGGTGGTTGCCCCAAGACAGCAATTGCAATAAAAAAATCACATGTAGGGACATCCATCATGTTAGCCTCTGGATTTTCAGGAAATTGGTAAATGACGAGATGAGATGGAGATGTTGGCTTGCCACTTCTCATGGCAGTGGGGGGAGGGGCAGGTGAAAGGTAAAGAGAACCTAAGCTGGATTTGTATTAATGAGCCTTTCCTAAAACTCTAAAAACTAAAGCTATGGCAGGAGTCAGGTGAAGAGGGAGAGAAAAATAGAGGTAACAGAAATTCACCACAGCTTCAATATTTGATAGAAAGGAAAACAGCGGCATGTACCTTTAATCCCAGCATACCAGAGGCAGAGGTAGGGAGATTTCTGTGAGTTTAAGGCCAGCCTGGTATACATACTGAGTTCCAGGACAGCCAGGGCTATATGATGATCTTAACAATGGGCCAGTGCATAGACTACGGTGATCAGAGATTATTCAGCACTGGGATGCTTGAAATAGTGAAACACTTTAAACAAGTAGTGAAGGAGCCTCTTACCACATGTCTTGTGAGGTTGTGGGAGATGGGAGCAGAGGGGGTCAGGTTGAGTGCTATAGAGGCAGAGGAATTAAGCAATATAGCCATACATCCTTCCTTGACACTACACTGCATAATCTGAGGGAGTATGAGTGTAATGAGGGAAACATTCTGATGGAGTGGTTCTTATGAGACATTAAAGATAGGGGGTTATCATTGGTGGAGGTTCTCGTGGGTATTAGGGGCTGGAAAACATAGAGGAAGGAGAGGCTCTACTGAAGGAACTGAATGAGAAGAACAATGGATGATGCCCAATTCACTAGGCCCAATAGAACTCTATTCACCAGAGTTAAAAGAAAGTTAAATCAGGGGTTTCGAGATTAGTATGAGCTTTCATGGTTTTGCTGAGCCCTTTTGTGGGGCAGGATCTTTATAAAGTAGGAGAGGCTTTGGCAGATCTAAGTGACTTTCCACAAGTGTTTACATTATGTCTGTGAGTTGACTAAGGCAATGAATGAATGAATGAATGAATGAATGAATGAATGAATGAATGAAGCAGAAGAGGTCCATCTCAGTTACTTAAAGGCAAATGTGGCAAGATTTGTGTTAAGCCCAAATTCCTAAATGGAAAACTGACTGAAAGCCAAATCTATGCTAACAAGCTTCTAAACGGCTTTAAAGTCTGAAAGGCAATTCCTCAAAGAAAGCATCCATAGCCAGGCATGGTGCGACATGCCTGTAATCTCAGCACTTGGGAGGCAGAGGTAGGCAGATCTCTGTGGGTTCAAGGCCTGCCTGGTCTACAATTCAAGTCTAGGACAGCTAAGACTACACAGAGAAACCCTGTTTTGAAAAACAAACAAATGAGCAAACAAAACAAAAACCACCCCCAAAAGAACCATCCATTATAAAATAAGTGAAGATTGATCAACCTGTCCCAGAGTTATTATCCTCCCTAAGACTAAGAAGGGCATAGTTTCCTCTGTTAGGAGTGAAGATGGTTTGACAAGCCTGGGTGTCTCCCAGCAGTTGTGTGTGGTGAATGGAGAGGCAACAGATACACCTACAGCCACAGTGCTAACGCAGATCCTCGAGTACCAGGAAACTAACCTAAGCAGTAAATGAGAACAGAGCTCCGTTTTACCTTGACCGTGGGTGGAGCAGCATGGGCCAGCCCCACCAAGTTCCCTGGGAGTGGAAAAATGCAGGGAGGCTCCATCCTGGCTACATACTTTCCACTGTAACTGCTTAGCTCTCCATGCCCAGACACCTGCTGTTAATACTCTACCTACATCATAAACTCACTGTAGAACTGAAGACCCAGTGTGAGCTGTCGTAGACTCATACTAAAGTTTGTTGTTGGAACCTTATGAAGAGGGGTTAACTTTCATTGCATTTCCCTCAGGAAGGAAGTCTCACAGCTGCCTTTTTCTAAGGTCTATGGGAAAATGAGAGAGAGAGAGAGAGAGAGAGAGAGAGAGAGAGAGAGAGAGAAGACAGAGAAATAAGAGAGAGAAAGAGAGAGAGAAAATCTGTGGGGGAACATTGTGATGAATTGAGGGTTAGAGTTAACACTCATCCCCAAAAGAGGTACCCCAATAATGTAGCCCTGCCCACTAAGGAGAAAGAATTGTAGGAAGGCACTCTGCTCACTTCTACTTCAAAGAACTATGGGAAGTATGCCTTGTTTTGGAATCTGAAGAGCAATAGGGGTCTGGCTCACTGAGTGGAAACAGTAATATCCTGAGTATGGACTGAGCAAGTCCCACTGCACAGATCCCAAGCAATTGAGCTTTTCCTCCTTTGTCAGTCCTATACCATAAGGAAGATTTCTCAGGCAAGACACTCCCATCCTAATCTTTCTAAATCCTTCCCACTACTTTTGGCCTAAGAGTACCCTGGATGGGATCCAGCAATATCCCTGCTTTGAGTTCAGACAAGCAGTGTGCAGAAGTGACATGCTCTAGAACCCCAGGAACAGTCTAGAAGGCCTCCAAAGCTTTCACAAACTACTCATGATGAATATCAAGAGTACCCCCCACACCTTTGGATACCCTCTACTGCTTCTTGAAGAGACTCAACAGAGGATGCTCACCCTAACTGCCTGTTTTACTTACCTGTGGTAGCCAGAGGATGTCCTTGTCATAGGGCAAGAATAATCCCAGCTTTTCTACAGAGTGAAATACACACAACATAGTACACATGTAAAATGAACCACTTTATTGAACTACAGGAGAAAAAAAAATAGTGGATTTAACCACATTTTTAACAGACCAAGCAAAAAAAAATGCTACATTCTGTTTCCCCTTTCTCCTGAAATAGAACAGGTTCACTGGAGGCCTGTGCCAGGGGTAGGTTCAGGGACATAGTAGACTTCAATTGTGTGTGACTGAAGCCACTGATCAGGTGGCCATGAAAACCCATAGCACCTCCTGATCAGGGAGACCAAGGATCCCTTTACTTCCATTGTGAAATGAATCAATTGATTTAGCCTGAAGGTTATTGTTCTTGTTTGATGGGTTCTGGACTGGCTATATCATCAGAACCTGGAGAAACTGCTGACAGATGATGGCATCTGCATGCCCAGTATGTAGTGTTCTTCTTGAAGGTGAGCAGAATGCTCTGGACTTTGACAGGAGTCCCTGGCAGTTTCTCAACTGCCTTGGCAACCTTCTCCAGGGTCCTGGTCTCAAGTGGCACTTGTTGGGATTTTAAGCCGATTCTCCCACCCCCTCATGTTGGAAAAGCAGAAATCTTTCCTCACTTGTAGTAACTGTGCTGGCAGGAATTCCAGGGTGTCAGTGGTTATGGTAAGTGAAGGTGGGGCATCTGTCTGAGACAAAGCAGTTGAGCCATCTGCTTCTACCATGGCTTAACCCATCCATCTCCAGCACAAGCTTGTAAAAAAATACTTTAACAGAGAATATGCTGTACAGAACTAGGATTTGACACTGTTTATTACAATGCTAAAATAGCTGTATAAATACTATACAGGCATGGAATCATGCCATTGGGAAGGGCTCATTGATGAGGCCCTGCAAACCTGCTATCATCCTGCCTGAAGGGAAATTTCTGTATAGCAGGAACAAGGAAAGCAAGGCTGGGCTGTATCTGAACACAGCAGGTGTGTACAGGCTTAGTTACAGTCCCCCCTGGCTACCTATAAGCAGCACAGCTGAGCCACTAATGGAAGTGGTCTCATAAGAACCACATCTTTCAATACTTTGATAGGAATTTTAGCACTAGAAAATCTGCCCAGGCTACAGATGTGCCTTCTGTAGGCCTAGGCAGCAGTCATCCCTGGGTGGATACCACAGGAATGAGAATACATTTCAGGTTCCCATCCAGAAAGGAAGGGATTTTTTTTCTCATGTGTCACTGGTATCCATATTGGTAGATACCTTTAGTCTTTGCCACCTATGTTCTTTTATGAGTAGCTGGTTTGCATTGGAGGCAAATGAGGCTTCAGATTGAGGTCCGAGGTTCCAGGCCTGGGTTGCGGGCAAGGGAAGTAGGAGTGTGTGTTCCAGTGCACTCACACTCCGGCCCTAGTGGGGCCATTTAGTCTGGCATTTCAATATTTAATTTGGGCGGAGGGAGGACATACTTCCCAGGACTCTGGGTGATGACCACCCTGGCCTTCTTGCGAAAGATAGGTGCAATTTTAGGAGGTTCTGGAACTGGGGTTTCTTCTGTTTCATCACTATCTTCATGGTGCAGATCATATGAAATGTTTCCATACTCTCTCAAAAATGGGAACATTTCAAGCAGAAACTGGCAGAAATCTTTGCGAATACCAAACCACCCTGAAAAATAAGAATTTTCCCTTTCAGGTACCAGGCATTTGTGTCACATTTCTTTCCTGAACAAAGAGTTTACTTCACCCAGGTTCCTCAAAAGAGAAGGCTGGTCAGGATCTAATTGCCTAATAAGCAGAGGAATAAAGACCTTTAGCAACAAAGTCCTCAGAATGTGACTACAGGCCAGTGGTAGCAGCATCCCCAGGTCCCTCTTAAGGGGTGATTCTCCAGCGTCAAATCAGAGCAGATAGTTAAAAATGGTGAGGTAGGCTAGAGAATTTAGTTCTACCTGTTTTGCCATTGATTCAGATAAAACTGACTATGATAGCAGTTCTCAAATACTGACAAGACCTAGATCATGCCACTTTCTTCCAATCTTCTAGACCCAGGCTAAACTAATTGGTAGCAGAGTGATATTTAAGCAAAGGGTTCCTGTAACCATCTGAAATCTAATTAGACATAAGAAGGAATTGGCTAAAGTCAAGTCTGAGCTCATAGGAACCCCTCAAACTAGGCCACTGGGGTGTGCTCTCCCTGTTTCATAGGGGACTGTCAGCTTGGTGCTGGCTCTCCCAGGATAAAACAGCACTTCAACATGCACTATATTTTATACTTTCTCTTTCCAAGGATGCCAGATGGGCAGTTCTCTGGGTTACACAAGGTGGTGCTCACAGCCTTATAAAAATGGTATCTTCCTCAAAGACTACCACCTCCAAAGTACACGCCATGGAATATTAGTCAAGACAGAGTTGTAAGCTCCACGAAACTGAAAAGAATCCATTCTATTGAGGAGAGAGAGAGACAGAAAGGGACCTGAATGACTCTTGGGATTCTGGTGGGAGATTTTTCATGAATCCAGAAAGGATCTTGAGCCCATTTTAAGGACCAAGGAATGGGAACCCAAAGAGACAATTTGCCATGTTTGGCCCTACCGCCACTTGTCCACTTTTAGTGTGCACTAAGAATAAAGTGTAATACAGAAGAGCACCCCAGAGCAAATATAATAGCATACCCTTCCTGTGGAATACCACCCCCTTTGCTCATCTTTAAAGTATACACAACAACTTCTAAACTGAGATCCTGAGTAGTATCCTTTCATAAAGCACATGCACAAACAACACACATATACCCCCCCCACACACAGACAGAGAGACAGTGGCAGAGACAGAGAGACAGAGACAGGGAGAGAGAGTTTCTTAGTCTGTGGACGTACAGTGGTTTCCTCCTTTCTGTCCAAATGTTGTTGCCATCAGTGTAATCAATGAGAGCCATAAGGGAACAAATATTGGAATGCAGGAAAAAGCATTGTAGCCATCCAGTTTGTGAACCAGCAGGATCTAGAGAAAGACAAAATTAAGGTGATATTGATGCATCAGCAGAAAATGGACCAAGTCTGCAGGTGTCTCCACTATAGTCCCTCCCTGTGTCATGTCTGGAAAGAGGGAAGGCCAACATAGGAAAAAGCAGCAAACCACCCATCTAGGAAAAAAAGACCATGGAAAATTTTGCATCCTTATCCAGGGCCAAACAAAAGTCCACCCGGTTGAAAGATTCCCGCTCCTGGGAGTTTCATGAGAGACTCCTCCCATGATTTGTTCACAGGAATCAATAGTATCTAATCTACAATTCCCTATCAAACTCCAATACAAAACCGGGATATCCAACACTCCCTTTTAGAAAGTAGAAGCTGGACATGGGCAGATGCCTTATGGGTAGAGTGGTGCACACACATTCTCATTGTCTCAAGTTGTCTCTGAACTTTCTTCCACAAGGTTAGCAGTATACCTATCTAGCTATGATACATGCTGTCTCAGCTAAGGGTAGAATGTTGGAGCACAACAGATTTCCTGTAGAAAGCTTACCTCAAAAGTAAGAAGAGGGACAACAATGGTCATCCAGCTCAGTGCCATGGTTATATGTGTTCTGCGTTGTTCTGCAATCACGTCCACAGAGCGCAGGAACAAAACAGACCAAACGATGTAATAGAGGACCACCAGGCACAAGAAGGACATGAGAATCCACAGAGGGACACATACAACCTTCAGAGAAGTAGAAACACAATGTCTGGAGAGGTTCCCTGCAGCCTCTGATAGCTGCCATTATCATTTTGCTGGGTCTGTTCAGGTAGTCAAGGGCAAGTAAGACTAAAGACAGTCCTACTGCCCAGGACTGCCATGGAGATAGCATGGAAAATACCACATTCACAATGGGACTTACATTCAAGAAATGATGTCGTTAGGCCCTCTTCCTTTCAGGTAACAACTTTCCATCTGGACCTCCAACTAGGCATATTTTAAATTTCTTAATACACTCCCTCATTTTCAAGGAACCCATTTTGTCATTCACTCATTCTCATGCTCCCTCATTCCCAATCATCCCCACAGTCCCTCACTTTGCCACTCTCATACTCCTTCATTCTCAGTTACTCCTACTCTTTTACTTAGTCACTTACTCCCACATTCACGATTCTTGCTTCCTAATTCAGTTACTTACATATTCACTCTATTAAGCATGCACACACACCCACAAACACCACCCCCCAACACACACACACCTTAGTTCCAATCACTTATTAAACCAAACATGCACATCTGGTAATTCCCTCATCCCCACAGTCATTAACTCCCTCATGCTCACTCATACATACTTCCTCACTGTCCCTCATATACCCCCACTATCATTCCATTCATTTCCTCATTCTTGGTCATTCATATAATTTTCTTTCCCAGTCCCACTCACTCATGCATGTACTCTATAACACTAGAATCATTTCTTCCTTCACTGTCAGAAACACTCTGTATATTGCTCAGTACTCACTCTCATAAACTCATTCACACTCCCTTGCTTTCAGTCACTTTCTCACTCAGTTCTTCATACTTACTCTCATTTACAGCATCACTTCCTGTCACATATTCACATATTGCTTATTCACATAATCCCTCATGCTCACTCTGTCTAGCTACTCACATAAGAATTATTGATCACTTACATTCTCATTCTGTCAAAATTTCATTTTCCCTCACACATTCCCACTCTCACATTCACTTACAGACTCCCTCCCTCACTCTCATTCAGTCTGTCACATATCCATTCACTCACACTTACTCAAGCTCATTTCCTCACTTCTCCACCTCTATTCTCACTTGGGAGCAACATCACCTGACCTAGTTTATAAGCAATGGGGAATGAACACAGGGTTTTATGCAGGTTAGGGAAACTTCTAGTAACTGAGCTACAACTACAGCTCAATCTTCTTTCCTAAGCTATTACTACTTGAAAAATACTGTATTGTCTAGTGTATAGTTTATGTAGTTTATATGTGTACCTTCTCTATCAGCACAGCAACTTTTAACCATTAACTGAAGTTATAGTTTAGAAAGATGACTTACAACTCCACCCCATAAGAGTAGAAACAGGTACAGATTTTCTGAAAAGTAACTTGGCCATCTATGCAATGTATATATTCAAATAATCTCAAAAACTTCCCATCCAATCTACACTTTTCTTTTAAAAATATTTATTTTTATTTTATGTGTATGAGGTGTTTTACCTGCATGTATGTCCGTGCACCATGTTTTTGCCCACGAAGGCCCAGAAAAAGGTATCAGATTCCCTGGAACACAAGTTATCACTGAGTCATCAATCCAGCCCCATAATCTAAACATATGTGTACAGAGCTGGAGAAATGGCTCAGAGGTTAAGAACATTGGCTGTTCTTTCAAAGGTCTCTGAGTTCAATTCCCAGCAACCACATGGTGGCTCATAACCATCTGGTGCCCTCTTCTGGTATGCAGGCTTACATGCAGGTAGAATGCTGTATACATAATAAATAAACAAATCTTCAAGAAAAGAGTATGTGTATAAATGTCTCTGCATGACTGACTGACTGACTGAATGAATGAATGAATGAATGACATGAAATTTAGTAGGTTGGGAAGAAAAAGGCTTAAATACAGAGACAAGAGAAGACAATAGATGGTAAAAGAAAAAAACAAATATTGTATGTTTTCTCTTATCTAGATTTAAACATGTGTATACATAACATGAAAGTACAAGGTGTCTGGAAAGAAGAAAGGATTGGCAGGATGCAGGGACAAGAGACATTACTAGGAGGCAAATTTAGGCAATTAACAATGAGTGATATACACAAATGAAAATGTCAAAATAAAAAACATTATTTTGTACAATAGCTAAAAAGGCAAAGAAATCCTTTTTAAAAGCTTCCATCTTGGGGCTAGAGAGAAGGTTAAGTGGATTAGGGTACTTTCTGGTTTTACAGAGGACCTGGGTTCAATACTTAGTACCCATATAGTGGCTCATAACCATCTGTAGTTAGAGTCCCAGGAAATCTTATGACCTCTCTTCTACATTTCTTAACCACTAAAGGTATATATGGTGCACTGACATACTTTCAGGGAAACACTCGTACAACACATACAAATAATAAAATCTCAAAAAAATTAAATTATTTATAACTGAATAATACCTTTCCTAGAATACTTTCTAAGAAAACAATAAAATATACACAAAATACACCAGAAGTTTGAGATAGAAAATCTTGTAATGTGTATTGAACAGCAGGATAATTATGATTAATTAGAATTAAATGGTTCGAAGAGCTAAAATAACAACATTTTGAACATCCCCTGCACAAATAAATGATAAATGTCTAGGGTAACATATATGGTAATTAAACTGCTCTGATTATAACATATTATAAACATACAATGAAAGGTTCTACTGTTCCTCATAAACATATATAACTAGGGTGCCAGTTAAAAAAACTTTAAAATAAAGTTTTGAAATCACAAATATTAGCAGCAACTAAAACATCTAGAAACAAGGACATGTTTCATAAATGCAACTTATGAATCAATAAAGCCTTAAGTGTTATGTTTGCAATATTTGTCGATATGAGCAAATAATTATGCTATATCAAAACAAAAAAGCAGGCTACAGAATGTTACAGAGTTTGTGATTTCAAAACGTACCCATGTGTATGTATATTTTAAAGTTTTTTTAACTGATATCCTAGTTATATATGTTTATGAGGAACAGTAGAACCTTTCATTGTATGTTTGTAATATGTTATAATCAAAGAGAGTAGTAATCTCAACTACTTAGCTCTCAGCGTTGGTACTATGTATGACCATTAGTATGTTGCTCATGCTTGCTTGTTTTTTTTTTTTTACAAGTTTCTTGAAACAAGTATGAATTACTTTTATAATAAAATGATTTTTAAAGATTTAAAAATCTACATACAAGCCAGGGCCAGTGGATGATCTTGTCCAGTCTTAAGGCAATGAATATAAATTGGAGAATGTTGACCGAACACAGGATTTCTAGCTAAAAACGAAGAAAAAAAGCAATTAAGTTGCATTTAACACAGTGTTATCTGTTTAACACACTAACAAGCAATGCAAATTATAATATGGCAAAATTTTAATGATGTTATGCTGGATGTGTCAGATTTTTTGGCAACAGAAAAGCACAGTAGTACCATACTGGGGGGAATTTTGCACAGGTCTTTTGTCTCATCCTTACGGTCACTTGGTACCTTGGCCCTTTTGTTAAGATCTGAATGTTGTAGGCCCGATAGTGACTTTTTTTTTAATAAAAGAAAAAAAAATCAATCTACAGTAGATTTCCTCCAAGCCTCCTTCTTGCCTCTGCTGACAATCTAAACTTAAAGCCACCTTCAAATTTCCTTCTACTTCTACCCAAGATTCTGCCTTAAATCCATGCCTTCTTTTCCAGCTCTTTGAGGACCTTGTCACTTCTGGCCAACAATTATAGATTTGGTGTTGCATCATTAATTAATTCTGACTATGCTACTGACATTTCCCAATAATAAACTAGTTCCCAATTCCCCATTAAACCAAAAAATGTCTAAGTACAAGTAAGTTCACCTTTCCTGTGATTCAGCATCCCCAGCCTAACCCCCTTCTCTGCTACAGTCCAGCTTTGTGAGGCAAATGGCTACATGAAGCCCTGTTCCTTCATCCTCTACTCTAAACTACTAATAATTCCATCCCATATGGGAACTTCCTTCAACAAGGCCCTCAGTACCAACAGACAACAAAATATTCATACCTGCATCTTACTGGGCTATTCTGAGCACATTTTATTGTTGACCAATCCTTCTTCCTTGTACTATTGAGTTTCAAAAATCCAACTAGACTTTGCATGCTGTGAATATTCAGAGAAGTTCTTCTTGGGCTCCCTTTCCATTCCTTAAATTGCTACAATTCCAGCACACCAAACTTGATTCCTACTACTGAATCACATATAAACACTCATTCAGACTGCCTGGGATAGAACAGAGTGTCAACAACACTGCAGCTTACTGTATTGCCTAGTGATTAGTTCTGAAATCTGCATGCAAGCTAGCCTTACTGCTGCACAACAGGTCCAGTGTACAGGCACCACATGGCTCTCCTGGAAGCACCTACCATTAAAGTGATCCCCAAATGAGCTTACTGTTTCCTGAACCCTGTCCCTCCCCTTTCCATCACTGTAAGGCAACACAGCAGCCTGTGGTGGCCTCTACATTCTCATATTCCATTATCACATTCTGTCTATTCTCCCACTCAAACTTCTCGTAAAGACCTTACTCATTCTTTATTTACATTATGACTTCCTAAGTCTGCTCCATTTTTTTCAGCAACCCCCAAAACCCAGTTCCATAGCTCTATTCCCTTGAGGTCAGATGGCCCTTTGTTCCCAAAGGTCCCCAGGCTCCTTTCTTTTGGTGGGTCTTCATTCTTGTCTATAAACATATTTTTACTCTAGAGAACTCTCTATCAGCTCTTTGTCCACATTTTCCTATAATAACAGTTTTGAATCATAACAACTGCTGAAAAGTCTGCTTCTAATACTCTTGCACTAACACAGGTACAATGGAACCTAAGAAACGAAAACTACAAACCATATCAAGCTAGAACTGTGCATGGAACAGGTATCAGTCAGTTTTCCTCAAATTGAATACTATCCTTCGTGCACTGTGAGTTCACTAGGATGATGAGAACACCTCAGTTCATACTTTTAAGAAAGTATTTACTGTGTGTATATGTGCATGTATGCATCCACCCACATAGACAGACAGACAGACAGACAGACAGACAGACAGACAGACAGACAGATAGATAGATAGATAGATAGATAGATAGATAGATAGATAGATATCTTGAGACAGGGTCTCACTGTGTTGCCCTGGCTGGCCTGGAACTCACTATGCATAGCATGCTGGCCCCAGAGATTCACTGGCCTTCTGTCTCCCAAGCCCTGGGAATAAAGTTGTGTGCCACCATGTCAGACTCTTTCTTTATATTTTGAGACAGGGTCTCTTATTAACACTTCAGCTTAATCTATTGCCTAGACTGGCTAACCAGCAAGGCCTTCAGGATCCATCTGTTTCTGAGTCCTTGCTCTGGGATGCCACATATATACCTGTAGCCTGGCTTTTCTGTGCATTCTATGAATATGTAGTGGTTTGAACTAGAATAGCCCCATAGGTTCATATATTTTAATGCTTAGTTACTAGAGAGTGGAACTGTTTGAAAAGATTACAAGGACTGGGAGGTATGGCCTCATTGGAGGAAGTGTGTCATTGGGTGGTGAGGTTCCCCACCCCCAGGTCCAGTCTGTCTCTGTCTCTGTGTGGATCTGAGATGTAGAACTCTCAACTACTTGTTTAGCATCAAACCTGCCTGCATGCTGCCATACTCCTCACTGTGATAATAGACTAACCTTTGAAACTATAAGCAAGTCACCAATTAATTTTCCTGTACTCATGCATTCTGCCTACAAAATTAGCAACATGTAGAAGACATCAAGGTCTACCATTGCTCACACTGTGGCTTTAGATTCCACTGAGTACCTAGGAGGAAAAACATGGGTAAACACTTCCCAGATTTCCTGAAGAGGACCCTGAAGTGCTCTCTTGCAGAAAAGGAAAATATTTCAAGTAAGTTTATAATTTTACACCATTGGAGCTGTAATTCCTGCCATGTCCACAGAGACACCTTCGTATTGTCATGGTGTAAAATAGTTGACCTCTTTTTAATAAATCTAATATTCTCAGATGCCATACTTTCTTTAGCCCTAATTTCACATGGCCTTTTACACCTGTGGTGATTTGAATGAGAAATGCCCTTCATAGTCTCAAATACTTGAACATTTGGTCCCGTTATTAGCACTGTCTCAGGTTTGGGAGGTGCAGCCTTGCTGGAAGGAGGATGTCACTGTGGATAGGGTTTGAAATTAAAAGCCTCCTGATGCTTCTAGTTTGCTCTCTATGCTTCATTACTGAGGTTGAGGATGTGACCTCTCAGATTGTTCCTACTGCCATTAAGCCTCCTGCCTCTGACATCATGGATTATTATCTACCTGAACAGTAAACCTAAATAAATTCTTTCTTCTATAAGTTGCCTTGGTCAGGGTGCTTTATCACAGCAACAAAAAAGTAACTGTGGTGGTTTGAATAGCAATGTCCCCGACAGATTCATGTGTATGAATGCTTGGCCCATATATAGTAGCACTATTAGGAGGTATGACTTTGCTGGAGTAGGTGTGTTCTTGTTGGAGGGAGTGTATCATTGTGGGAGTGGGCTTTGAGGTATCCTATGCTCAAGCTAGGATTAGTGTGGCAGTAGATCTGTTGCCTATAGATCAAGATGTAGAACTCTCAGCTCCCTTTTCAGCACCATGTCTGTCTACATGCCACCATGTTTTCTGCCATGTTGAGAATGAACTAAACCCTGAAACTGTAAGTCAGTCCCAATTCAATATTTTCCTTTATAAGAGTTGCTGTGGTCATGGTGTCTCTTCAAAGCTAGGACAAGAACTATTAAAAAACCCAAACTACAAGTTTTTTTTAACCCTTTCTGTTATATTCTGAGAATTGCACCCAATTCTCACTGTAAATCTGACTAAAAGCTGCAAGCAATATTCATTCTACAGACTGAATGATGGACTTTCCTTGAAAGCACTTCTGGAAGATTCATTAATCTACCACATTTTAATTCTTTTTTGTTTGTCTGAGGTATTTTGGTCACTAGATGCAAAAGTTAACACACAGTGGTGAGTGGAGTGAGAAGATAAATTACTGAAAGGTACCAACTGCACTGGGCCCCAGGAACTTTGCCAAGTGTTGGGTAATGTGGAGTAGAGCTGAGTGAGTATAGATTAAGTAAGAAATATGGCAGTGAATAAGGCATTGGAAACAGAGTAGTACATCTGAAGGAGCTGTTCTGTGAATAGAAGGAGAAAACATGATTTTTCTCTTTCAGATATGAAAGAGAGACAAAGACAGAGAGAGACCAAAGTTTCTAGGGTAAGTGTGGCCAAGTTACACAACAAATGCTAAAGAGACAGACCTGAAAAGAGAGAAAATAAAGAACATGGAATTTTTAAAGAAGGGCAAAGCTCAAATATCCCTGGGAAATTAGGGACAATATGTACATACAGATGATATGGACTGTACCACCTAGATTCATTGCTTCCATATTGACTCCTCCACCCTAAGAAACACAGTTACACATTTGTTTCCTAGTTGTGCCTCTCATAAAATTTTAGTACTGCATCTATTTTGTAGATAATATAATGTGCACGCACCTATGCTTTATCCATAAAAAGAACACAATTTTCCCCATTTATAACCACAAACTAAAATGTACTATCTGGGGTCAAGAATTCACTGGCCCTGTTAGCTCAATGTCTGGCTGAAGCTGCAGACAATAAACTTATGATCTTATGATGATTCTGCCCATTAATTAGTTGACTGTTTTCAGCAGTCTCTGGTAAGCAGCCAGAGATGAGTAGACGAGAGAGAAAGAGAAAAAAAGAAAGAAAGAGAGAGAGAGAGAGAGAGAGAGAGAGAGAGAGAGAGAGAGAGAAAAGTTGGATTTACTGATGGTTTTTAGGAACTACAGAGAATATAAAAGTGGCCTGCAAAAGGTATTTTCTCTCCAAAGTGTACCTGTCCCTACCAGCCACACTCACTCCATGGCTTTTCACTACTTGTATGATAGTAAAACTAAGCCATTCTTAATACTCTAGGTCCTGTTCCTTCTGAGTCTCCTGGACATAGGTCTATCATTATTCCTCTCTGGTAACTTTTCTTTTAAACCTACACCTAGGTTCAGCTTCCAATTCTTTTATCTGCAAAGGTTGAAACAAGACTTTTGCAGTCACACCCTCTACTTTATCCATGGGGAATATGTTCTACAATTCCCTGTGGGTGTCTCAAACTGCAGACAATACTAAACCTTTTATATATTGTTTTATTTCTAATATACACACATCTATGATTAAATTTAATCTACAAATTATTAACAGTGGGAGAGGTTAACAGAAATAATTACTAAACAGAACAATTCAAACCAATATCCTATATTCAAAATAGCATGCATGTGGTCTTTTCTCTCTCAAACATCTTATTTTATGATACTGTATTTTTCAGACCACAGTTGACTATAAGTAACTACAACCACTGAAAATAAGATCTCAGATAAGAAGTGTGCTGGGAGGTCGGGGCCTCCTGCTTTCCATTCTCCTCTGACTCCATTAGTACATTTGGGCTCTTTGTTCCTTTGTAATTAATGGCTCTGGCTTTGGATTTGTGCTTACTGAAATGGAATGCTGGTCCTTCTCCTTAATATGTGTCCATGATTAAATTATCCTTCTTGGAGAAAATACTACACCTCTCTCACAGATTGTTGTAAATATTTACTAAGTGGCGGTATTTGTAAAGTGACCATCCAAATGCTTGGTACAGATTAAGAAGACTATTAATTCTATCCACAGTTGTTTTCTTTATTACTATTACTAGTCTTAGCATTTTGATTTAATTCTATACTTTCTCTTCTGGGGCCTAAAGGATTTGTATATATAGATACTTGATTAAAAAAATACATGGGCATATCAGCACAAGCCAACTAGAGAGCAGCTAAGGAGCAACAGCATAAGAGATGAGATGGTGAGACAATTAAGTTTTTATGGACTACTGTACCAAGTTATTTAATATAATACTAGGTGTACATTAGTGTGACAGCATCAAGTTTTAAAAGGAGATTATTCTCACTACTGTAGGGTAAGTAACCCTCATCAAAACCTTTGGAGGCTTTAAATGCAAAGGGTGTGGTTTCCTAGAAAGGAAGAAATTTAGCCAGTCTGGAGTGTCAGTTCCTGCTGAATCTCCAGCCTGCCTATCTGTTATATACACACAGGTGGCCAGCTCCACAACCATGTGGATCCATTCCTTAAAATCGCTTTCTTTGTATCTATATCTCTGTCTTTCCTATTGGTTGTTTCACAAGACTGACAGATACAGGTAGTTTATAAGACAGAATACTAGGAGAAAGCAGAAAGTCTTCATTCTCTTGTACATCATGATCTAGAATTAAGGATTAGCCTGTTCCTCACAAAGGGTAAGAGACTGACATTAAACTAAATGTTTTAAAAACATGATTAAATATATAAATCTCACCTCTAGTGACCTGTCATGCCGAAAGCCCCAAACGCATGCTGCAACAGACACCGGGGAAACAAAAAACAATGGCATGAAGACCAGAAGCCAAAAATGGCTTCCTCTTTCAATCCTGTCACAAACCAGAACTTCAAACATCAGTAGGAGCAAATGGATGCCCACAGCAATCAACATGGCTTTAAACTCTACACATGTTTCTCCTTCTGCTCTAAAAGGGGATGGAAGGAGAAAAAAAGAAAGAAAAAAACTTATTCAGAACCCTCAGTACAAGTAAATAGTCCAGAGCAAATAACAACTCAATTCAGTCTGAAGGAAATGAAGTAAAAAGCTAACTTAAAACTCTTAAACCTATCTTTAATAGAATATCTTTCACATATCCAGGAACACTTATGTTTATAACTTTAAATTCAACTATAAGAAGTTATTTCCATTATTATTCTATTAATTACTTCTGCTGTGAAAAACTTCAGATATCTCTGAAGTCTCATGATCCTCACTTTTCACTGAATTAAAAGCAAGTCACATTTCACACAATACTATAAATGTAGCTTTAGCTTCATCTGCAAGTGTAGGTTGCGCTCAACAAGATATGACAATTTTCTTATGTGCTACTTTAAAATGCAAAGAAAAAGTAATAAAAGTCTTTTATTAATCTTTATTTCTCTGATAATAAATTAAAACCTGTAGATTAACAAAAACAAGAGTTAAAAGTTTTGCTCAAGAGAAATGAGTGTAATTAGCTGTATAAGTAGAAACAAACTTTTAATAAATTAAAATTGAAATGCTTATCATTTGAAAGGCCTACAATATTCATTCAAAATATAGATAAGCATTTCATGACACCCTTGTTCTATGGGTGGTAAGTATTCTGGAGATTAGAACAACAGAAAAGAAAGTCACAGGTAATTCCTGTAGCATGAATAGTGGTCACAGGGGAATGACTGTGCCTGTTCATGCCATATATCCAGCCAGCCACAAACACCTTTTTTTCTTACTTGATGCATATCAAAGTAGAGAAAAAGTACATATAACTTTTAAGTATCAATTAGTGAGTTTCTTTTTGAGAAAGAAATATTAAATATCTGAAGTTTTTTCTCATAAAAAAGAGATACACAAGCTTGGTGTGGCGTTGCACCCCTTTAATCACAGCACTCAGGAGGCAAAGGCAGGTGGATCTCTATGAGTTTAAGGTCAGCCTGATCTACAGAGTGAGTTCAGGACAGCCAGGGCTGTTACATAGAGAAACCTTGTTTCGAAAAACCAAAAAAGAAAAAGAAAATAAAGAGATATACAGCCACAGATTGGGGCTGGGGAGATGATGCTGTGGTTAAGAGTACTTGCTATTCTTCCATAAGACTTGAGTTCAGTTCCAAGCTCCCATACTGGGTGGCTTACAACCACCTGTAATTCAGCCACAGGGATCCATCACCCTTTTGTGGCCTTTGTGGGTACACTCATACATGGTGTAGACATTCACATGAATAAAAATAAAAAGTAAATCTTGACTCTCTGTTTTAAGAGACAGGGTTTCTCTCTGTAGCCTGGCCATCATGGAACTTATTCTGTATACCAGGCTGGCCTTGAACTGAGAAATTTATTTACCTCTGTCTAGCAAATGTGAGATTAAAAGTGTGCGCCATCACAACCTGGCATACACAAGAATGTCTTTCACTTACTAAGATTCTTTGTGTATAGCCTCTTAAAAGTCCTACATACCTATGGGGTATGCATTTTACACAGTCTAAACTACAGCTTTTTAAAATTTTTTCTTTATCTTCTTTATTTATTACAATTTATTCACTTTGTATCTAGGCTGTAGGCCCCCCTCGTCTCCTCCCAGTTCCTCCCTCCCCCCCTCTTCTCCCTCTATGCCCCTCCGTTATAGCTTCTTTTAAAAGCTGGTGATCAAGAATTTTAATAACTCCCACAGAATCTAGCCATATCAGGTTGCCTCCACTTTCATGACACCTAAAGCTCTGTCTTCTTTCTTAACATCTGGTTCTCAGTTTACCTCATTCCCCAGTTCCTATCTAAGGGACTCATAGTCTTTAGACCAAGCTCATTCCTTGATACCACTAACCTAGAAGAGTAGGAGAAAGTAAACCCTAGTTTTAAAAATAAACTGCAGAAGCCAGATCCCTGGGAGACATGGGCAGAGAACTATATAAAGAGTGTTTCTGTGCTTTTTCAGTCTGCTATGGAATAACATTTCTTTATTTTGGGTGTTTGGTGTTACACCTGTGGACTTTCTAGGCCCTAAACCATCCAAACTAAAACTTTTTTTTTTTTTTTAATGCACAGCAAGCATCAATGTTTTCAAAACCCTGAGGAGAAATGTTTGCTGTACTACAGTTCTCATAAAATTTCAAATAGAAATTGTCCTTCTGTTATCTCTGGTGAAAGCCATCAAGATTTTGTTCTCTCAGCCAGGCGTGGTGGTGCATACCTGTAATCCCCGAACTCTGGGAGGCAGAGACAGGCAGATTTCTGTGAGTTTGAGGCCAGCCTGGTTTACTAAGTGAGTCTAGGACAGCCAAGGATACACAGAGAAACCCTGTCTTGAAAAAGAAACAAACAAAAAAGAGTTTGTTCTCTCAAGATATAGACCAGTGGGTTTTATAAAGCAGTATTACCTATATTGAGGATTTCGTGCCCAAACGCCGGTTCCAACTGATGCTCCAACAATGACCATTAACTTCCACAACCATATTGGAGCAAAGACAGCCCAGTAGCTCCACTGAATGATGCCATCCAAACGAAGTGCAAGTAGCACAGAAAACAACAGCAGACAGGCATAGATGAGGAATTTACTAGGAGAAAAGCAAAATGATGAAAAAGTTCATTTTTTAACAAATATATGATAATGAAAAAAGGTGAAATAAAAAAAATCAGCTCATAGAAAGTCACTAAGTCAGGGATGGAGAGGTGATTCAACAGAAGACATGGGTTTAGTTCTCAGTACTTAAAGATAGCTAATGACTGTCTATAACTCCTGTTCCAGGAGTACCACCTCTTCTTCCAGACTCTGAGGGCCCTGCACACATAGGGTGCACAGACACACACATGCAGACAAAACACTTGTACACCTAAAATAAAATAAAAATAAATAAAAACACATTTTAAAGTCACTAATTCAATGACCATTTATTTAAAAGTTTTATGTGGAAGACATATTGTTTGGGGGATGAGAAAACAAACTTGAGTAATTAAGTCTCCTGCTTCCAAGGGTTTTCCAATAGAAGTCTATATAGCAAGGCACAGTAAAAATACAATATAATACCTGTGTAAATGGTAGTGGGGACAAAGTGAGATGGGAGCTAAGAAACAAAGTAGGGGATCTGAGGCAGTAGGAAAGAAAGAGGTGGTGACCACGGAACTGGTTCCAGAGGTAATTTGCAGGTTTATCAGACAGAAAAAAAAGTTAGAATCTCACCAGACCAAAGTAGAAGGAACTAGTTATACTACAACATGGAGAGTGGAAAAGGTTGACATGTTTAGGATAAGGTCAAGGTCTGTCATTGATTATTTGATATTATTCTCAAAAGGGTACTCCCTTGGACATCAATATCCCATAAAAATCCTATCCTGTTAATATCCTACAGCCAACCACGGTAGCTCTCACCAATAATCCCAGCACTTGGATAGCTGAGGCAGGAGGAACATTGGGATTTTCAAGATGTTGGGATAAATAGCGAGTTCCAAGCCAGCCTGTAAAATAGCATGAAAACCTGTCTCAAAGACAAAACAAAGGGGCCTAGAAAGTTGGATCAAAAGAGTACTTCTTGCTTTTTTAGAGGATCTGAGTTTGGTTCTTAGCATGCAATATAAAGTGGGTCACAACTGTCTGTTATTCCAACTCCAGTGGATCTGACACCCTCTTCTGGCCTCTAAGGGCAAAAGCACACTGGCAGCACACGTTCATATAAACATACACATATTCATGAATAAAAATCTTCAAAAGCACACAAAAAAATACACAAAAAGAAAAATGAGCAGTTGTTTTATTTCTATGGCATTCATATATAAATATAATACTTTCAATGGCTGAGTAAATTATACACATCTACACAAACACTCATGCCACAAATAGAAAAGAACTTTGGTAGATGTCTTTGAAGTAATCTGAAATTACAATGTCAAACCCATCTACTTCTAGCATTGATATAAAAACAGGAATATGATGCTCCCTTCCTCTCCCCAGGACCTATAGGCCCATAGAGTCTTCATAAGGCCCTATCGTTCACTGACTACCTACAGGTACTTAAGTAGTCCCTGCAGAAATGAATGATACTTTCTTCAGTGGCAGAGCTGCTCATAAAGAGTCCATGCTCCTAAAAATAATCCCTCACCCAGGAGTCTGTAAGCAAACCCAATGAAACACAGTGGCAGACTAAAGTAAATAAAGACACAAAAGTGGAGGAGAGCATAGGTGGGAAGAAAGAGGATATCTGTGGGGGTGGTAAATGAACAGGAAAGAGTAATGGGTAGTGAATATGATAAAAACATACATTACATATGTGTGAATAGGCTATAAAGAACCCACTATTTAATATAATCAATATAACTAATATAAATTAAAAACTATGTTCCTACCATAAAAAAGGGAAATGAACAAAGTATACAACATGCTGACAATAGGTAGTGAAGAACAGGGAAATAGGAAGGAAACAAGTATTGACCCAGTTTACTGAGAAGAATCAGTTTCTAGGCTGTAGAAAAAAGGCAGTTTAAAGTCTGCTTTCATTCTTGTTTAAAAACAACATTAAGGTGCCAGAGAGATGACTCAGTGGTTAAGAGCACTGGCTGCTCTTCCAAAGGACCCAGATTCAATTCCCAGCACCCACATGGCAGTTCACAACTGTGTTTAATTCCAATTCCAGAGGAATCTGACACCCTCACATAGACATATATGTAGGTAAAACACCAATGCATATTTAAATAACATTAAATGTAAACAGTCTAAATGTCAATATGAAGACAAAGATGATTATGTTGGGTAAACAAGAAACTATATACTATACTATGTGTAAGCAACACATAGTATAGAAGTCAGATAAATTAAAAACAAAACGATGGAGATAGGTATACCAAACAAATATGCTAGAGTAACGCCATTAGTATCTTTTATAGTCTCTACTATTTCACAGTTCTTTATGACAGATGCCTAATTGTCACAATTGGGTTTTAGAATCTCACCAGACCAAAATCAAGTTTGGCCCCCACCTTTTATTAATAAAACCAAAAGCTATAATATAGATGCAGAGGACCTGATGCAGACCTGGCAGACCCTGTGATTATTCCTTCATTCTCTGTGAACTCATATGAAATTTGCTCAGTTGCAAAACCAAGCTGTTTATCAACAGGTCATTCTGGGTGAAATCTACTTCCAGGTTCATTTCCAGTTGTTGAAAGACCCAAGTATCTTGTGATTGTGTGACTAAGGTCCCTGTTTCTTTGTTGTCAGCTGTAGATTACCCTTTGATACTATAGGCAACTTTTCAGTTCTTGATCATAGGTTTCTGTATCTCAAAGCCAACAACAACTTATTGAAACTTTCTCATTCTTTGATTTTTTTCCTTTTACTTTTCTTTCTACCACATTTCTCCTGATGCCAGTAAAGAAAATTTCTTAGTTTTTCAGAGTTCATATCATTATATTGGGTCCACTTAGATGAATCAGGTTAATAAGCTCCCTCCCCATTGTTACAGTGCGAAGGACTGACTCCAGGGACTCATACATTCTAAATATTCAACTGAGCCACATCCCTGGACTAATATCTCTATTTTAATTCCATACACACACTCTCTCTGTCTCTCCTCTCTCTCACACACACACATATATTAATTATTTTAAAAACAACAGAAAAAAAAGACAGAGTCAAAGAGATGTGGCAAGGTGGAAGGGGGATATCTGACACATTCAGATATGAAGAGTTCAATCTGCCATTAGCTACTGCTGGCTTTGAAGGAAAAGAAAGAAAAAAATGAGCCAAAGAATGGAGGTAGCCTCCAAAAGCTGAGAATCACTTTTGGCTGACAGACAGCAGAAAGAGCACTTTAGCCCTACAACTACAAGAAAATACATTTTCTGTTTTTATTAACAGAATGATTTTTGTAATTTTTTTGGTACAAGGAACTAAATTTTTACAACAGCCAAAACATACTTTATAGTGGTTTTTGAGTCTGAGGAATGTGAATGACTGTTAACAATTATGAGGTGAATAATGAAAACATTCTTAATTTATACAGTATTGAAGGTTGCATAACTCTGTGGGAAAATTCATTTTCCTACAAAACTTCAGAGTTTACCATTTTAAAAAATATCGTGAGTTGTTTTTCTTTGAAATGTCAGGAACACCTCTAGTCTTTTAAAGATTATGTTTGCCAAAGACCCTAATACAAATAATCAGTCTTGTCCGTTAGCTGTTCTTCTAAATTATTCCATGCATAGAACTTCTTGAAAAATCAGATACACCAGTGTTTTTTCCTCCACTCAGTCACTGCTGTATCAATCTACTGCAAACTTTCTATTCTTCCCAACTCATTACATGGAGTATTAAATTAATTTTGTACCCAGGTGTCAAGATGAGTGACATTATTGTGTTTTTTCCTGCTTCTGAAGGTGGCATTTTAAAATACAAGTATGTGTTATCTTAATAATCTCTCAAGTTACCTCTACATGCTATTCAGATTTTAATTAAAAAAAAAAACTGGAGAGATGGATCAATAGTGAAGAGCACTTTCTGTTCTTAAAGAAGCCTCAGGCTCAGTTCACGGTATGCACATGGAAACCGACAGCCTTCTACAATTCCAGTTCCAGGGGATCCAATGCTCTCTTCTGTCCTCTGTGGGTATTGCATGCATGTGGTGCATAGACATACATGCAGGCAAGATACTCATACAGATAAAATTAAAATAACAAAATTTTCTAAAGATACCAATTTCAGGATTAAGTTTCAAAAAAAAAAAACAAAAATTTTGATGCTACATCTAAATCATAGAAATACCTATATATATGAAAGCACAAAATGCAGATAAAAACAAACCATTTTTAAACAATACTAGAAAGAGTCTAGGCCAGTAAGAAGATGGACACTCACCTTCTTTATCTCATATTTATCTCATCTGATTTCTTATGTATTTATTCATTAAGATAAAAGTAAGTAAAAGCATGGTACAGATTATATATATTGTTTCTATAGTATTATTTAAGAAAAAAAGTTGTAAAATCTCATTCTGTAATCATTTTCCTCACTACTGGCTCATAGCTCATTATATTATCAGTTATACAGCACCTACACCTAGAATTCAGTACCTTCATCTGAAATTTTAGTTACCTTATACACTTATGAACCATCACTAGAAAAAGAATCAGAAAGTCATAACATAGTATTAGTAAACTTAATTCTTGGTGTCCTAAAAAACTAATACTTCTCCAATACACTGCTTCCTTTCTACAACAGAATTTTCCAGTGGCTCATGTCTGTTTGTACTCAACATGTACTCATTCAGCACATTTATTTATTCAGTGCCTCAAAATCCTTGGCCCTCAAAGAAATCACAGCCAATGAAAAAGATATATGTAGATTATCAAGTAATGGCAATATTTTCAAAACCTGAAATTATGTGTGTAAACAGAACTTGCATCCTTTGACCATTCCCACTGAAGGTAAAGCATTAATTCCACTATGTCATTTCTCAAACCATCTTTATAGCACTCCTCTCAGAAGTGCCTTAAGAGCCTGAAGTACATTCTTTTGAATATAATAGTGGCCAAATCTTTCCTAAGAATGGATTTGAGTTCTGGAAAC